GATAACTCGGTTAGGTTACTTGAACTCAGCTTTACAGACCACACTTCTTTGGGAGATTTGAAAACGAATATGCCCCCCCCCTCACAGCCAAGAACCAGTTTTCCCGAAAATAGTTTGCATAAAATCGACAACTATCTCAGTAGAGTAGTAACCTGTATATGACACGTTTGTAGACACGTGACCCAACCATCTGTATTGGTAACCATCATGGCGGGCGTTCCAGCTAGTCAGTGAACCACTCGGCCGTGAGCGGCTGATCTGCACTATTATGGTTCACAGTAAGTCAGAAAAACACGTAAGCAATGACACGGGCGTATTGTGTACACGCGGCCAACTGATCCGATTTCGTGCGGATAAACAACATCTGAGTCACATCCAATCAATCCACAGCGCTCACGCGAGCCAACCAATCGGACACGCACGTACCCCATCAGCCAGTCAAGTCACACGCCAGATCGGTGGAACGCCAAACGGACACGCACACGCACTCTATGACACACCGAAGCAGCTACTACACGTGTGTGCGATACTTTGTAGATACGGCGCTCAACCATCTGTATTGGTAAGCATCAGCAACGAACCTTCCAGCTAGTCAGTGAACCACTCGGCCGTGAGCGGCTGATCTGCAGTGCGGCTGTCTCACTCATCGCGAAATCTACATCACATGTTAATTGGCTTCCTGAGTGGTGATCTCTCAGATGAAAGGTCCACTCGTCAAGTGGATTATTCTCCCTCCTGAGCTATTTATGGTTCCTTTATACGGTTAGTGGTTCGGTAGCCAGAATGCCAGCTAATCATACCGCTGTTAGCTACTCCTGGCCGCAGGATTTGACCTTCAATTACTAGCTGGGACGCAATCCTCATGATCCCCAGTGAGGACGAAACAGGTGTACAGTGTTCCTCGGCTACTCGACGTGAATTCACTTACAGAATGGAGTCACAATTGAAATATTGAAAGAAATCGAATGGTGATCGGAATTAATAAACAGTCGGTTAGACAAAGGACCGTACACCTATTATTGGTCCCCATGAGGAGGTACTCAGTGACCTTAACCAATCAGGTTTTTCAACTGATGTGCAAGAAATGTGAAGAGTGTGAAATTGATTAATTCATTTCTAAGCTGAGATATACAGTTCCAAAATTTTGAAAGGAAATTGGTTAGCCTGTGTTTCTCCGCGGTGAGCCTATTTCCAGGAAACCTAAGACTTTTGGGGGGACCACCTGCACGAATCAGTTCAAATTTTCGGGTAACTGAGAGGCGACCACACTCAATTTCAAGCAAACATCAAAGTGTCTTTGATGTTCACACCCATTAAACCACACACATTCTTTGGATGTTGGATAAAAAAATTGCCCAAACAGCTTACCCGAAACAGATGGATGAACAGTTTTCTTTCAACCAGTGGCCCGCGATTGTCTCCGAAAGCCAGATTCATCATTTCGATTGAGCGCCGAGCTTTTTCACTAGCACCGTGTTTCGGGGTAGAAATGGCCGTTGTCATTGTATCTGCGCTGCTGCGCCGACTGGACTTTGCCGACAGCGACTGAGAGAAAAAAAGGGAATGGTACAATTCGATGAAAAGTCTATGTGTGTGAGAAACTATTGCTTTTCAAACATTTTTCATCAAGCATCATTTGTGATTTCTAGGTGAACAATGCTCTGTTACAAATGTACCTCTATTGATCCAACGAGAACAAAACGAAACTTGGTGGATTTTTTCGCTTCCACGAGAAGCCTATCGCTAGTCCAGAGGTTCGTTATAGGGGCGGAATATCAGGAAGGTCACAGTCCTGAAAGCAACCGCTGAAAGCTCGGAGACTCTCAGCCCCGCTAGATATTGACCAGACAGACAACGCCCCCGCAATATGCAGCGCGTCACACCCAGAAAGCGCGAGTCAGCATTGGTCAAGGTCAGACAACGCCCCCGCAATATGCAGCACATCGCGGCCTCGTGCTAAGGCCAGACCACGTACGTCAGCATTGGACCAAGTTCAGAGTGTCCCTCCAATAAATCGCTTGAGAGCGTTGTACATTCGCAATCGCACGCACTCACTTTCTCGCCCTCGCTTGTTCGGAATATGGTGGTTGTTTCCTTCTGTGAGTCTTTTTTTCTCCGGTATTAGGCACTGGAGCGGGTCAGCAGCAGATACCACAGATTGGTGAATCGGCAGATATAACACGGAACAAGGTGTAGTGACCACACTCTGGTTAGTTACAGTACCGATTGATATGCTGGTCGATTCGCACAACCAAAAGCGATGCGGTCGCTGATTTCGCCGGTGCACTTGCTTTGTGAGATTCAGGTGGCCCGATCAGCTCAAGGACGTTTTTAACTCACTGGTGGTTTGCGAATCAACTTGTTTTCATGTCTCCTTTGGAAAATACTCACCGTTTCACCAAAAGTCAGGTTGTTTCCAAACAGAGTGCCGGAATTTTCCCACTTTTATGCAGATTATTCGTTAGGCCGCAAGATTCATCTGCTTTTTGATTTGGACGCTCCTTTTCGGACCAAAGAACAAAGGAGAAACACGGGTGAATCCAAACTAAATATGATATTCTTCAACTAAATATGCTGTAGCTAGGCCGCCTCGTGTTTCAGTATGATTTTCAAGATATCTCATCATGTTTTCTTGAAGAATGGTGGATTCAAGTATATCCTGATGAGCCTGGAAATAGCGGAATTCATTGTGGGCTGTCGAGGGGATTTCAGCAACCTTATTAGTAGCTTCTCGAATACCGTACCAACTGAAACATGAGGTGGCCTCTGTGCAAACTCAGCCTGTCTGCCCTTCAGTCTCAAATTTTCAAATCTTCATTCTCTCGTTATTAAAAGTTGGAAAACTACGATAATTTTGCCACATTCACAGCGTGCTCGAATCTTGAAGCGACCAGCAAGCTATGTGTAAGGCATCAGAAACGTCTTCCTGACGTGCAAATGAAATCGATATCGATATAACAAACCTCCCTATCTCTGTTGAGGGCTCATAAGGTGACTAATAGTGAACGCATCCCAATAACTTATTTTGGTGCATGAGATAATCTCGTGCCACGTGATGTGTGTCGCACTGCTCGCTGGATGACTCATGGCGTGTGAGTGGAAACAGACTAGTGATGACGCTTCGCTTCTCTCTCTCTCTCTCTCTCTCAGCTCTTCTCCCCTCTGTGGGCCGATTCTGCGGGACTGACAACCCTGTTATTCTTCCACCGGTCTCGAACGCAACACCGACGTGTCGGCCGACGCAAACAGCTTTTGAAACATCTGGAATTTGGCGTCACCCTTCAGAACACAGGGTCAGCAACAGGCTCAAGCTGATCACCTCGCCATTCGTTGCCGACAGCGGATTCTCAAACTGCACTTGGCGGCAAACCTGATACTCACCACAATCTGCAGATCTCCTAAAGTGCCCAGAGCGTCTTGATGGCCTGCCACTCACAAAGTTCAAGGATGGGAGTGAGTTGCTTGGTCAGCGTTGGTCTGATCTGTACGCTTTCCTATTGGAAAAGGAGAATAGTCCAGACACAAAATGGCTGGTTGACACAGTATTCACAGAGTAACCATTTTAGCTCTTGGCATCATCTGTCCTTCACAGCCTGTCCATGAATCATTCACTCACAGGCAACAAGTTGGTAGAGTCTGTTTTCGAGAAATACACTCATTTGGTTTTCACGAGAGACCCAACTCAATCTCTCATTTATGATATTATACAACTCTTCGACGTCGTAGAGTCTTCAGCAACCTTGCGAGTAGTTTCCTTTATGCGAATATACTGCGACATCTCGAATATCGTGCCAACTGAATCACAAGGCGGCCTGTGTGCAGCACATTCAGTTGTAGAATATCATAAACGAGAGACTCGGTTAAGTCTATTGTGAAAACCAAATCGATTTTCAAATGAGTGTATTTCTCGGAAACAATTCAGTTTGGGTTCAATTAGAACACGAGGTTGACGGAAACTTGGGGACTGCGCCTACCTGATGAACCACAAGAAGGACGAAACCGGTCGTGCGCTGTCGAAGGGTTTTCAGCAAACCTGTGAGTAGTTTCCTTTGGTAGAGCCTGATTTAATCAAATTTTTGGGATCCGTCAGGCTGCAGAACAGCGTTATACGCATAAACCACCGAAAGTTCTGACAGCCATGAATTTCTGAGGCACATTTGACTCTGTTGATCGATCCGTCCGTCCTCTCTAACCAGCTTCCGCAGAAAGGAATGCCCCGGTGATTTCGGAACCTAATAAATTCTTTGTATTCTCAGACTTTCGAGTGCATGGTAACATGAGGAAAGCTCTTCAAAAGCCTCCATACATGAACTGGTTTCCCAAAACTGGATGCCCACTAGCTCCATTCCTATTCGATTTTGTGACAGATGAGGTAAGAAATCAAAAGCTGGAAGGCCATCGAAAAAAAATATAGCATTCAAATAGCTGCTTTCCAGTGAAAAGCACGGCATTTCCCTCAATTATCAATAGACCTGGTTTGTACTTTTCATGAACTGCGCATAAGCGATAGTTCATAAGAGCGGAATGACTACTACTCATTCGACCGGTAGGAAATGGGAATAGACAAAACTGATGAGAATACATAAATAATGTATCCGATTGACATCGGAAAGTTGACAGACCAAATGCATGCCCCCTGTTACTAGGTTGTGTCAGACGGTTATTGATTTTTCTGCTCGAAATTGATGGGATTTTGCGAGAAATACACTCATTTGCAAGTCAATTTGGTTTTCATGAGAGACTCAACTGAATCCCTCGTTTATGACGTCCTCCAGCTGAATGTGCTGCACACAGACCGTCTCATGATTCAGTTGGCACGATATTCGAGATATCGCAGTATATTCGCATAAAGGAAACTACTCGCAAGGTTGCTGAAGACTCTACGACGTCGAAGAGTTTTCAGCAACCTTGTGAGTAGTTTCCTTGATGGGATTTTTATTTTTACCATTGACTGCAAACAAGCTAAAGTAGACACATTAAATTTCCCAGCATAGGTCGTGATCAGATCATTTACATAAAACCTCATCGAAATAAGACTCACCGATAAAACGAAGTTGTCAATTTAGCTACATAGTTTATTCATAGTTTTATTCATACATATTCATACATATTCATACATAGTTTATTCATTTAAGTAACTAGTCGATTGGTGACACTTTAAGCTGAACTTGTTAGTTGATAAATATAATTAGGCAACTTCATGAGTTGGTCAGTCAAGTGACACTCTGATCTAGGGCCCAATCGATGCACCTAAAAATGCGAGAACTCAAGGGGTGAATCGAATCACAGCCGAGTATCAGACAAGCGGATCGGACAACTGGATTAGTCTGACAAAGGTCAGAGAGTTCGAGCTCACCCGTTGGTCGAACAATGAGAACAGGAACGGTGAAGTCCAATACCGGAATCACTTACCGGCGAATTGTACTATCACCCTGACATGAGTGGTGCAGTTGGCTTCTGTCCACCGCACACTTCACCAAACTGACACGTGGTATCAACTGTCAGCTGGACTTTTCTGATGTGTTTTGACGGAATGGTCGAAACAGGTTGACTATCCTAGCACCCCAATGGTAGGAAGCGTGGGGAATCGAGCAACACCCAAGTTGTTACCCTGTACTTTCACCCAATCAACCAGATTTCCTCATATAACCATGAGATTCCCGACCGTGAATGTGACTAAATGATGTGGGACACAAACTCGAATGTTTGTGGTAGCATCAAGCGATCTTGAAATTAAGACAGAAATTTCGTCCCATAAGTGAAATTATTCTGTACCAAAAACTCGTGAGGTATTGTGCAGCTGTTTGTCTGTTGGAGCAGTGTACATTTTACGAATCTCTCCCGAAGGAGTGCAAACTTTCCCACTAGTAGTTTGAACTCTGTTTGGCCGGGTGCGACTGACCAACAGTGCAATTAGCTCGCACTCAGACAGAGTATGGTGCCACTCATCCTTCAGTCACGGAATTCACATCACTTGGTTACGTGTTGTTTCACTGGCTCCTTAAGTGACGACTTCTCATATGGATGCCTCACTCATCGGATGAGTTTTATTGTTCCTCTGAGCTACGCATACATTGCTGGCAGGACATTTGGGATGACCACGTGATGATGTGAAAACTGTTTTCAGGATGCAGGAGGAGTCATTCACACTGCTCATCACTCTTTCTTGGTCGATAGGAGGTCACGTGTTTGATACTGGAGTTTTTTTTAAATTTGCCATGCTGAAGATTTCATGTAAGGACGAAACATACATACAATGTTTCTCGACTTTTGGGCTTTACTTTACTTGCAAGATGAAGTTTCTACCAGACTTGTGTACTCTTCACAGTCATACGAGTTTTAGTGGACTATAAGAAAATTCCAGAACCGATTCAGAACCAAGGGGATTCGTATCCAAAAACTACAAGTAGGGTTATAGCGTCAAACGAAAACGGCCACATGTGCAAAAACACACCATATCTTGATGCCCATGAAACCGAAAAATGAGGTTGTACAAAGGATGTCTCAGACCAATCCTGGCCACTGAATATTATGCAACTTACAAATATAAATTCATGTTGTAGATGTCAAAATCTATGCAGTTTATGTGAGAAATCCAATTGGGAGTAGTTAACGACAAATCCATATTCCTCTTGTCCTCTTTTGCCTCTCTTGCATTCAATCAAGCTGTACCCCTGGGTGACCAATCAACTTACGCAAAACGCACCTCGGGACCAACCAATCACTTTGAAGCTATTAGATACTGTCTAAAAACTAGATAAGCACACACAGAAGAGAAGCAATTTAGCCACCCAACCTCACACTGACGATTTTACCTCGATTGATGATGAAACGTTCGCAGTCCAACTGCAAGGCCCAGCGAACAGACAGACCACCAAGCCATAATAGCACCAGCGTTGAAGTGCGAAGTAGCTTTTTACCATGTCCACGTACTGTTTAATCAGGCAGGATGCCACCAAGATCTGTTGATGTTTTCACCGAGTAACCTAGACTGTTTGATGGGAAGTTTCGCGCACGTATTTCGCTCACATAAGAGTTGAAATTCAGTCGGTGTTTTCGAGACAATTTGATCGTTTTAAAGATACGCCTTACAGTCGGGAATGATTACATCGCCGTCCTGTCTTTGGAGAACAAAGTGACACATTGAACGACGTTCGCCATCCTCCTTGCCAACCAGTATGGATACGGTTTCTGACTTCCATTTGGCCATCTAATGTTTAACTACTTAACTAGAAGGTTTGTGATATACGTCTGTGAGATCCGGAAAGGAACTAAATGCATAAAGGAAACTACTCACAAGGTTGCTAAAAACTCCTCGACAGCCCACGACCGGTTTCGCCCTTCTAGGCGTAGTCCTCGAGTTACCGTCAACCTCATGTTCCACTTGGACCCACACTGGACTGTTTTCGAGAAATACACTCATTTGCAAATCAATTTGGTTTTTCACGCGATACTCATATCATAAACGAGATATTCATTTGATTCTCTCGTGAAAACCAAATTGATTTGCAAATGAGTGTATTTCTCGAGAACTAAATGCATCTCAGTGTTGGATTAGGCTGACAAATAACTTTCACGATAGGATTTACAAGTGTCTGGATTTTCAAACACAGCATTTGATCACGTCGCAGAGAAACCCTCTGGTTTCATGAAACACTGTGCCAAACAAACGACTGATGCTATTAATCTACGAGATTCAGAGTTCCTCACAGCGCGTCAGTCATTTTCTCTATCTGTTGTTCCATCCCAGACCACTATTCGGTTTCTCGCCGCAGCCGGTGTGATGGTAATGCTGATGCTGCCGCTGAAACGAGCCAATGAGAGTGGGGTGATGGTAATGCTGCTGCCGCTGAAACGAGCCAATGAGAGTGGAGTGATGGTGGTGCTGCTGCCGCGCACAAACGAGCCAATGAGAGTGGAGTGTGGAGACAGCAATTGGATGACTGCGACTGTTTCAACGGGTGGTTATCGCTAAGAAAATGTCGACAGTACGAGAACATGGAAAAAGTTCTGTTCAGTTTTTGATTGGTCAGAGCCGGGCACTCAGGGCGTCAAAGGTGTTCGAATCATCGTAGTGTACACAACCTGAGGAATACCAGTTGATATGCTATGCTTCAAGTCGTTCCTTTAAGTGTCCCAATGCGATGTGGTCTCAGTGGAGGAATCTAGCCCCTCTGTGTGAAGATGTAATGAGCGTGCTTTCTTACGCTTCAAGGCCATGTATTTCAAACTTAGATGCTATCTGGAGTTGCAACACCAAAAAAGCTTGCGAGAATAAACGAACGAAATCAAGCTATCATATATGTCCTCAGGTTCCCTGGGAAAGGGGCGGCCGTGTTTCTTGTGACTAGGAAAGATGAATGGCCGAGGTGTATTTTCGGCAGCTATCAGTTGTTCTCAAACAAAGGGTTAGAACGTGACAAACTTCTGCGAGTCTCGGATTTTAATGGACTCTACAAACTCTCCGATTTTTCCGAAAATCGATCCAAATAAAGACAGTTTAAACTAGACAAAGTCAGTATTATATATAGTGAACTTGACACCAGCCCAAATCTTAAGCACGGTTCATTCACAGCTAAACTCTCACAGATCTTTTCCGTCCTCTCCCCTGGGTTAACCGACTGTTGTGACTGTCTCCCAACGGTCCTCCCAAATATTTTTCATTAGTGACCTTGCCCGAACTGACGGTATGGAATCCGACTGGTGGTCCGTACTGCTTGCCACAGTCCTTCGATCAATATCGATACCGATTAATTAGTTCTTTACTATTCCCCGCCGATCTCCTTTCTAACTTCACAGTCAGGTTGAATAACAGCAAACGCCGGCTTTCTGCAATCCGTCATACTACCCCGAATTAGCGACGATCGGTTGTGACGTGTTTTTCAGATGCCGAAAAGTCCCCAGTGAACCATAGTTGACGTTCTGTCTTTTGCTAAAAAGCTTCTCGGGGTGATGAATGATGAAACGATCAAATTTAAAAACAGGCTCTTTTTCAGTTGTCACATTCCTTGGTTTGTGATGATATACCGTCGGTCTAGGTCGAACCCTCGAAGATGAATGATCGATCAAATTTAAAAACAGGCTCTTTTTCAGTTGTCACATTCCTTGGTTTGTGATGATATACCGTCGGTCTAGGTCGAACGAACCAAGCGAACATAAAATATCCCGTTCATTCCTTTCCATTCGACTGTTCTGCTGACGCCTTCAATGTGGATCGACGAAAAACTCAAGTTCACCGATGTAAACGTGGAGTCAAGTGGGATAATTAGGCTACTCACAGTCTGAATGGAAATAACCTTGGAATCACAAGTCACCGTAGAGTGTTATTCAAAGATAAATTTGGCGACGGAGATAGCTTGCAGTCTGGAAAAGGGCCTTCGAACCTGTCGAGCATACACAGTGGAAAATCGTCACAATCAGTACTGTCCCAGTGAATTCTCCTTCACGGAAGCAAATTCTGGACTCAGGAGGGTGCCCCCCTTTCGATGACTGAGATGAGAGTGCCTCGTGGCTGATCTCCTAACCGCCTTATGTTATTTTTATGTTTTCGGGTGGCGTATTGGTTTACTTCAAGACAATGATCGAAGGTAAACGGTTTCGTCATCACACAGTAAGTATGCGGTTGATTCAAGACGATCGTCTACCGTCTGATGCCAGTTGGTAGTCAATGGCGATCGATAATAACATCGATCATTCTGATTTACTGATTTCCGAGATCTCATAGGCACTGTGAACATTGAGTTATTAGGATCGATATTCATCTATCTGGCTTTCCGAATTCCAATAAGCTCACATGTATTTAGCTTTCTTGCGAGCAACGTTGGCTATAAGGTCGATAATGCGATCAATAGGTGGCCACAGGATGAGTTGCCCTAAGCTATGCTCTGGGACAGTTTCACTATCTTTACACATTGTGGAGTCACACGAGTTGATAGCAAACTTTATCCACGCGACATTAATGCCAGACAGATATACAGGAAGATATACGGTGACATGATGAGCAAACGTCGGTTGGAAATGTATTGTCTTGGCTTCTGTTTTCGGTTGCATCTATGGTTCATCTGTTAAGGTGCCTACCGGTTGGCGTTCGATAATGGAGCTGCTGTCCAACACAGAGCATAAGAAGCTAGAACGACTGTACTGCTTAGGCACGGCTGATCGTCAGCGTGAGTGAAAATCAGGTCATGAACAGACCGTACAAACAGGTCTGAGGCGGCACAGCTCAGCCAGTTTGGCCTGACCACCTGAACGTCTACGTAAGTGTGTGGGTGCGTGCGTGCCTAAGTGCGTGGGTGTACGGGTGAGTTGGAGAAACGTGATTGGTTGTGTGTGTGTGTGTCACCGGCGTACCATAGTCAGTACCCACCACTCCGCGGCACACTGCGGTCAACACGCTTATTCACGGGAGACTCAAAATTGTGAAGAAACACGTTTTGACAGTGGGTCAGACAACCAGTCCTTGCACAACGAATAGGAACGTGAAACATATGAATCAAAGGCACTGCATTTCGTTTCCTCCAGACGGCAGCTTCCAAAATCCGGTCTGGCTGTTCGCCTACTCTCTTATTATGTTTGGGCCAAAGACAGTCGAATGTACTCTGCAGTTATCACTCGCATGTGTACTTTTTTGCTGTTTGTCCAACGTCAGATTGCCAAGGTAATCCATAGCGTCATCCCCCCATCTAATCAAAGACTGAAACGGAGAATATTGGACTGTATGACTGTTCGCTTGTGTTAAATTTTCAAACCAGGTTCAGGAGAGCTCAAGTGTATGCTTGAGAATGATGACTTTCTCAAAACTCTGTAAAAGGGTTTTTGTTTTCATGCCCGGTGACTTGTAACCTCTCTGCTTGTCCCTTACAGTGAGAAAGGCACTCAAAGGCTTCTCCTCTCCACTAACCTCCTTTCCTTTTCACGCAGTCTTTGTGCAGTGAGTTCAGCTATGCTTTTCGTACGTGGAGGGATAACCCGCTTGACTGCTGTGCCGTTTCTACCGCTGTGGTTGCTGATCTGTCTTCTTGTTTAGGCTTATCATATTGACAGCCTTTAGAGGAGGCCTTGAGAACCATCCGTTTTACTATAGAAAAGATGCTGGTAAGCAGTAAATTCGCCATCATAAATAAATCCTTAGAATCGCTGGAGACTTTACCGAATTTCGATCAAGAATGTCGGGCCATGAAGTTAAAATTGGAAGCGTAAAATAACGGCTATATTGAAGCTAAGAGAAACTGATGTCTCAATCAGACGCTCGGTTTATGGGATCAAAGGTTAAGGTCTATTACTGGTCCGTCACTTGGTGGATTCAGGTCACGTGATCAATTCTAACTTTACCAAATGCCCATCTACCTACCAAGATTCGTCCAATACCAGTGTCCGGCCTTAGTTTAACTAGTCGCGATTAGCTCCTCAAACCTAGTTTGTGCACTCAGAAGGTGTTCATATGCGAATTGAGTATTCCCTCACGTGACCACTGGCCATTCAGGTCAATCGATCTTGACATAGACAGTCTTTACACTTTTATCCGACTTTATATAACTCGCTGTCTGGGATGGCTTGTTACTGGACCGACGACTAGTGCCATAAATGAAACAAAGTCACGTGACACACTCAGCTTCGGCCACAAATCGCGAACAATTTGTGTACTAAAGTAAAACGGTAAGATCCAGGGTCACTTGCCGTTGGGAAATGCGGTAAAATTGCATTCCATTATTACAGTGGGCTCCACAAGGTAAAACAGTCTTGTTACAGAAAATAACAGATGCCACAATAAAATTGCAGTGATCTAAAATTAGACTTCAGAATAATTAGGCTGGTTGCACCAACGCGTTTGTACAGAATTGAGTTTAAAACACAAGATGACATCTCCTTTTGGGATTTTGTACTCAGACAATCCTGTCTAAACGTTCTCGGCAATCCTGGAAAGCCGATTTCCCGACTATGCAGAGGGTGGGATGCGCATGAATCTGATTCTCATTGACTTATGATCAGAGCGATTAGCATTTTTGGCGTTTATGCTAATCTTTTCAGGCGTGTGGACAATCGCTCACTCTCTTGACTACCCATCCAGCCTCACCTAGGGCCCCCATTCATCATGGAATGCCGAATTCGGAGAATTCCAACCTAGGTGTTGTGTATGCAAATGAGCAGGGGAAATTAGCGTTGTTTTGCCACGAGGGAATTGGCGGAGTACATCCGACTGGTTTGGTTTGACGCCGGAACGACTGTGTGACTGCTGTCAGAACACGCCTTTTTTGACTGGATCTCGTCCAAGTTGGAAGCCCTCTCGCACGCGCACTGATTTCAGCATATTCAAAGGAAAACTAGATGGATCATATCGATTTTTTTAAAAATTAGTGGTTCAATATAGGTAGAATTTTACATGATGGCCGGTGAAGAGTGATCACTAACTATAAGGTTGCTGATGACTCCTCGAAAGCCTACGACCACTTTCGCCCTCCTTCGAGCTCATCAGGTGGGCGCAATCCTTGATTTTCTGTCAACGCCATGTTCCACTTGAACCAAAATTGTACGGAATTCGATTGATAGAATTATCTGAAAATTGATTTTGTTTCGACTGGAGACTCATTTGAAATCTAGCTAAATAGCTCGTTTATGATGTTATTAAGCAAATGGATCCGCTGCGCAGGGCCCCCTGATGTTTCACTTGGTAGATACTCGAGATGTTGTATAGACGTAATACACTACTCATTAGGTTGCTGAACGAGGCAAGTTTCTGTTGAACAGTAGTCAGTAGGTAAAATGAGACACGCACCGGTTATATCGACCAAATTCGCCCTGTTCAGTTGGCCGCTGTGCTGCAGGACGTGTAGAGGACGTACGGAGGCTGTCAGTGTTCGACCATCGTTGTCTCCGAAACGTATGTCGGTTCTGGTTGGAACGTCGGATTAGCATTGCTAATAGTTTTATGGCAAACGAACTCCCCCACGATAGATCAGTTACT